CACAGCCTGCAGGGCCAGGATGCTAGACTACTAGGAGGGGGATATTGGTTTAATGGAGCAAGGCTGCTCCCAGAAGCAAGCAGTGACTGCCAGGTCCAAAGGTTTTGATCAAGGCAAGCAACAGTAATCAGCTGCCATTTGAAATTCATGAACCTTCTCCCATAATTTATTACCCTCTTTTTCTCCCTCATTCCCCAAGGGTAAAGCCACCCATCAGCAAACACCAACCCTGAAAGAAAGGGACCTAAGGGCAGTTTGAGAGCAGAAAAATGTAAAATGCAAAAGGAGTTGTGATCACAAACAGCAATAAGGTATTGTGAGTAACTTCTGTTCCGCCAGGCACAGTTCATTGCAACTGATTGAGTAGAACTGAAATTCTAGATCCAGCCTGTGAAGCGGCAGGGAAGGCAGAAATTAAATAAGTCTGACATTTTTAATAACAATTTCCTGCAGTGGGAAGCCAGCAGCAGCAGCTTCCTATGGAAATGCACAGCCTGCGGTTGATTTGCCACTTTGGGCTGAGCTGTATCGCATTTAATGACAGATCCTTTCCAAATCTCTCACTTTGCAGAAACCGCAGAGCCCGGAGGAGCCTCCAGTTTCAGAAAAATTAATTCAAAAATGGTAACGAGCCCACGATTAAAAACAAACATGAGATGCTTGAAAGAACTGAAGTTTCAGGGCATAAGTGTCACTTTGCTAGGATAAAGTGAGAGGCAGAAACCAGCAAAGAACTCCGTCAACAGCTGGTGGACAAACTGCAGTGGCCCAGAGAAGAAGAGCAGGCAACTGGGACAGGCCTGCTATTCTTGAAGAGGGCAACGGACTCAGTGCTGCAGTGGAGGAGATTAAGGGTGCAATGCTGTGTGTGGTTAAACAACAAGGAGTCCCACAACTCCCAGCTTTTCCCAGCCAACATGCACGGGATTGCACCCTAAATAGCATAGCTAGAAGGCAGCCTCTCTTTGAAGGGCAGTCCAAGTTGGGCTTAAAGAAAAACCATCAGGTAGGCAATCCAGCTGGGTCCCTGCAGGTGTCCATCAACACTTGGCACCTGGACTGCAGCCTGCATAGGCACCCAGACCACGGCTTGTGCCCATGACAGTGAGATGCCCTGGACTGCTGTTGAATTATGGCAATTATTTCTAACTTTGCATTTGTACCTTTAGGGTAGACCATGCCAATGTCTGTCCTCTTTTGTGGCATTTTTGTCCTCTTCCACCCTGCTTTTTCTTTATTTGGACCGGGGTGGGGGGATGTGTAAGTGCCCCCCCTACAATTAACGGCTTGGAATGCTGTGGAATGATTACATGCTTTCCAGAGAAGCCCGTCCTCATTTTTTTGTAGTGTCTTGCACTGCCAAGCCATTCTTTGTATACATCATGGTGTTTTTACAGCAGCTGGGGTCCCAAACTAGCCAATTTCCTCCCTTCCTACACTCCAGCCTCCTTCCCAGCCACTCCCCAAATGACCCTTTCTTCTTTTCTATGATCAGAGTTTGAGCTATTCATAGAAAACAGTGGAGAAATCTAGATTTTCGCTGAGATTTGGCAACAGTAGCTTTTTCTGACCTCATCCAGACAGGCAGCAGTCAACACAGACATCCTAATCTTCGATGTTCACTGTAAATATGAAATCATTTCATTCCCTTTCCACCTAAAGAAATTACTTACTGAAAATGTTTTTATCTCTATGATCTCAATTTCCCATAGTTCATGGACTTGCACACTACTATTGCTGATTTATTTTCTAAATGTTGTTTTATTTTCTGCATACCTGTGAGCATTCATTTCCAAAATGATACACACTTGATCACTCTGGTTTATACTTAGAAGAAATTCTAATTCTATTTATCACAATAACAAACCAAGTTGTCTCCTAAGTAGGATATTTGGTAAAGCAAAACTAACTTGTGAGAGGTATAATCAGACCAGATGCCAACAACAGGCCTGCAATGCACTACTGCACTTGTTTGTATCCTGTGTTGTGCATTTGCATGTGACAATTGTCCTACATTTGCACACACCATGCTGTAGTGCATTTGTGGTTCATATTATTCTGTGATAGTTGGACAACCAAGAACCAACTGGTTTGCACTCCTGGAGTTAAAGTGAACCTGCCTACTCAGTTCCTTCTTTTTTGTGCAATGTTTGCTTAGGTGTAAAGTGAGAGGAGTGTTACTCCAAGGGTCTGTTGTGTCCCATGGTTTTACAGATGAGACCAGAGACCAGTTGGTATTTTTTAAGAGGAGTTTTTTTATTACCTGCACAGGGACCAGCACCCTCACACAAAGATGGGATGAGTGCCGGCCCCCCAGTAGAGGGACAGCGGTGTTTTATACCCTGTTACAAACAAATGGAAAATTGTTATTGGCCTCCTAAGCGAGCTAGCATAATACAGAAGCGAGACGGTTTGCGGTTAGTCTACATTTTGATACAGAAGCGGAGCGGTTTGCAGTTGGCCTATCCTTTCAAGTTTTACGCCTTTGATAAACCTTGCCCATTTTCTGAAGTAACACTCTGTATATGCCTGGGGCAACTGATAAACCTCCTATTAGGCTAATTTAATACACAAAGACTTCTATTATGCTAACTTAATACACAGCTGATAACATTCTGTTATGCTGATCTTGAGCCAGGTGGGTCAAGCCTAACGGGTCAAACCTGGTGCAACCTGGTGCGGAGCACTGAATTGTATTTGATTTATACCAAGCCTTTCTACCAAAAATGGTTCTCAGGGTGGCAAACAACAAGATCAAGTTTAAAATAAAATTTTAGTCACAGCATTCTTAGAAACCAAGTCAAATCTACAGACCAGCTTGCATGCCAAGGCCTACCTGAATAAAAACTGCTTTGCCTGTTGCTGGAAGGGCCACATCCTTGCAGGGAGTTCCGGAGCCTGGGGATAACTGCCTAGAACACCCTCCTTTGCTTCCTCTTCCCATGGTGGCAGGCTCGCCTTGGAAGACCTTAAAATTCGGGCAGGCTGGTATGGGAGAAGGGTTCATATAAGGTGTTGTAGGTCACCTCCAGCTCTTTGAATTGCAGCCAGTGCAGCTTCTGAGAGAAGGAACTCAGGTGTTTTGCATAAACCAGCCCATCAACAGTCTGGCCACAGCTTTCCCGGCCAGCTTAAGTTTCCAACCAGTTTTCAAAGGCTTTCATACAGTTTTCATGTAGACTGTTACAATGGTCCCAACATGATGCAAAAGTAAGGCATGTGTGATTGTGTCCAGATCAGACAACTCAAAGAACATGCACAATTGCCACATTATCCTCAGCGCTGCAATTGTACTGCTAGCCATCACTGAACCTGGGGATTCAGAGCTGAATCCAAAAGTATACCCAAATCACAATCCTGAATCTGCAGGGGGGTGTAACTCCATCTAGCCCAGGTTTAATCCCTATTCCCCAATCTGCCTTCTGACTAATCAGACCCATTTATCATGACTGGATGTAGGCTCAAATTAGTGTGCTGCGCCAAATTCACAGACATGATTTCGGTCAAGTGTTTTGCCTATTTGTCTTTGAGAAATAGGTTTCTGCTGGAGCTGTACCCCTTTTAGCCATGGGCAAGCAACAAATCAGTGGTGTGGAGTGTTTCTGTACCGTGTTTCAACAAGCCAGGCATGACCTTTCCTAGACCAACCTTCCACCCCTTCCCCAAATGTTGGCTTTCCTTCCTTTCCCTCATCCAGCAATCAGCCAGCATGTGCCATACCCACTGGGCAGTTATCATTCCCTGGTAGACTCTTCAATGGGCTTCCTCCAAGGATTTTTTGCAACTCTGTGTATTTTAATCAGAAGCAATTTCCACCCTGTTCAATAGGGCCTATTCTTAGGCGAACATGCAAGTTTCCCTACAAAAACATCAATTCACATTTTTATTTTGAATTGTTTTCCAGGACTGCATGAGAATAGCAGAAAAATTTTGCCACTTGACTATTTGTTCAGAAGTATGTCTTTGTTTTCCCAGGTGGCCTCACAGTTCTGATTTCACCAAGAAACTCCTTTCTCTGGACTGACTTCAGCTGGCACTCTACAGTGAAGCAGAGGGAACCACACAGAACAATGTGCGACAACACACATTTCTTAACCAAGGTAAGAAAACCACTCTCCAATGTAGTTGTACTGCTTAAGTATACCTAGGATTATTTCCAAGTGAAGAGGATGGGAGAACACAGGATTTAGTTGGCTTTGTGACCCTTTGGGCCCATTTACAGTGATCCTGCCCTCTGTGGTTCAGGTCACCAGTATTCACCAGCCTGCAGTCTCTTCTATTGCCTTTGGTTCATAGAAGGACAATTCAGGATCCAAGGCCAAGTTTTTTGGAGAATGAGTGATCTCTTCAGCATTTTAACTCTTCACACAATCCACAGTTGTGTTGATCCTAGAATTATGTATCTTCCCATGACAAAAGTATATTTTACAATTGTGATTTCATAGGAGAAAAGTGAATTGGAGGCAATTTAGTTCTGAACAACAGCTGAAGAGGAAAGGTTATCTCCCTCCTGCTGCAGTCACATTTCAGCCCCACTGCTGTGTATCAGCAGGAAATCATATCTTATAGCTTCTCTCTTGTAGTTTGGCTTCAGCCACTGCAGGCCTGGGCCAGGATTATAACAGTCACCCCTTAGTAGAATGAGTCCCAGCTGTGTTGGTTGCTTACATGTCTCTTCATTAATGCAAAAGGATGTTAACACGGGATGTTAACACTCCCATCAACGGCACCATCAAGTCTTAAATCTCCTCTCCAATGTTATATGCTTTCACTGTTGACAGCTGCAACTGTCTATGCCAGGGGGAGATATAGAATCACCTGCAGATTACAGAGGCTTGCCTCAAACACATGGCAAATGAAGAAATGGCTACACCGGTATTGCCCCTACGATATAGGAAAGGAACACCCTGCCTCAAAGAATCCAACCCCATTTTCTTTGCTTTGTTAGGCCAAAGGCCTCTGCTGTCTCTTCTCTGTCATTCTAAGCCACTGACACAAACACAAGTCATTGACATTTTATTGATTTCTATGGCTGAAAATGTACAAGAAAGATAGAAAAGAGCCCCACCCTCATGCATGGCTCCCATGTGTAAACAGCCTCAGACACGTGATCTGCACCTGAGCGTCACTACAAAGTATCCACCTTCAGCAGTTTAAAACATTTAAATACAATGGACAGTGTGCTCAGCTCAGGTATCTGATGTCTCAGTCCCTCTATACAAGAACCGCAGGGCCAGCATGGAGAAGAGTGAAGCCCGAGTTGTAAAGCAGTGTGCTGGGGGCTTGAGAAAGCAACTCCAGCCATGGTGAGATTTCTACAGATTTGCACAATAGATTTGTGCTGTGGGAACATTTAATGTGGCAGCTCCTGATCTCTTGTTTAGCCATGGGCTGAAACAGACAGGTCCGGGCAGAGTAGTGAGGAAAGTGCCTGTCATTAGGGAAGCCAGCGACCCACTAAGCTCCATCCAGCTTGGGATGGCTTTGAACGCACCAGATGCAAGGCAGTGTAAGCAGCTATGGACCGGGTCTCTTTTTCTCTTGTGCCCAGCTGGGGAACAGAGTGGCCAGCCTGGCTGCAGCCTTCCTCTGAGAAAAAGGGAAAGCCCTCAGGGGCATAGTGCAGGCAACAAGCCACGCCAGAAAGGACAGCCTTAAAGATCAGGAAATAGTCTCTGGCAAGGAGAAACCAGAGGGATGTTCTGAAATGTTTAGATTTCAGAAGATGATGAGCAGAGACTATCCCCAGGCCTCAGTTCCAGCAGGTCAAACTGCCAGAAGGTAAAACCACATAGTGTTACAAGTATTCATTGGAACTGAAACGAGTTATTGGGAGGAGAATGTTAAAATCTTCCCATGGGAGTGGGCCTGGGCGAACTAGGTAGCAGCATCCTGGATCTTCCGCACACTCCGTTGGTGTACTTGAAGCCAGGAAAATGGTGACCATCGGCCTTGCTGAGGTTAGCAGCAGTATCCTATCCCCCGGGGAAATCTTGCAACCTCAGGAGGTGAGGATTCTGCTGCATTCTTCCCCATGCTAGCTCTTGTGGTCGTCTTGGCTATTTAGGCCTGCTTTTTCCTGGGCTGCTTCTTCCTCTTTTCTTTTCATGGCTTCCAGCACAGCCAGCTCCTTAGCTTCTTTCTTCTGGTTCCGGGCTTCAAACTCTAGCCTGGAATGACAAAGAAGGATCTGTACCATCTAGAACATGAAGATCTATTTCCATGGGTGCCTTCAAGAAGCTGGGACAGGAAAAAGCTGCTTACTGCAGTTCTACTGAGCCCTCACTTCGAAAGGTGCTCCTTCAACACCCAGCCTTTGCACAAGCTAATGACTTGGAGGTATCCAAGCAAAGGGCTCACACAGGCCACTTCAGTGGCTTCGGCAACAATACGTCCTCAAAGGTGCCGGAACAGTTTTTTGGCATTAGGGAACCATTGTGAGGAAGAATAGTATTTAAAGTTAAACAATATTAAGGTTGTGTGGGGAACACTATGCCCAAATAACCAAACCCTGATTGGTTTGTGCCCCTTCAAATGGCCCAGACAGGAATAAATACTATAGAGAAAGTAATTTAGTCACAATGGTTTGCATGGTACAAATGTTCTCCTTGCAAAGGCAGGTCCAAAACACTGTCTTCTCACAGTAGCAACAACAAAAACTAGGTACAAGGCTCATATCCTTACATTTATTCCATTCCAGGTGGGCAGAGAGAAAATGAAGAAACGTAGCTAGCTCTATCTCTATTTTCCCCACCAATTTAGTACTCTAATGTATGCAAATGTTTTGGGCTGCTTTGTATTGTATACTTAGTTTTGGTTGTCATGCCTGTTGGTTTGGGGAATTTAGAATGTGCTGGAGCTGTCAGAGTAGATAGAAGGCCAAACTGTTGGGATATTGTGAATTCTTGTAGACTTGAATCCATGGGGAACAAGAGATGTCCAGGGCACAGAATACCTGTTCTAAGGCTCATCTCTGTTTCTGATTATTCAAACGGCCCTGATGTTTGTCTAGCTGTAGAGTATTCCTTATTCCTCCTGTAAATCCCTATTTAGTCAGTAATATGCTGGATGTCGTGCAGATGAGCAGAGAGCTGATAACACAGTCTAATTATGCCAAACACAAACTGAACCAAAGTCAAGGGCTGCCAACCTGTTCTTAATTATTCTTTTCACTATCAGATCAGTGGTGAGATTGTTGCCACTGTCCACCAACCGGAAGATACCACGCCTCTTGGGTTCCTGTAGATATGGAGAAGAGAGTGAGCCTGACAAGAGCACTTTAGAGATATTCTCAAGCAGTTAGCAATGTGCAGGCAAGCAAAATCCCTTGGCTGTATGTGCTGTAGCAGAAAGCTGATAACTACAGTTAGAGACGAACTGTACTTCTGCACAGCCACAGCAATGGGAGATTCTGAGCTTGGTCAACCCAAGCCTCACAAACTAGTGACACAAAGCAAGTGTCCCAGTTCTCCAACTGGCTGCACAGCCCATTTAAAAACAACCCACATCCCTTCCCCAAAGAAACATGCTATGATTTGGGTTACAGAAGAAATCAAAACCTATAAGAAAGCAAGGAGAGAGTCTCTTTCATACCTCATATGGGTCTGAGCCATCCTTATCTGGAACTACCTCAGTCATTCCATGGCATACAAGATCCACCTGCAGAAAAATGGCAACAATTATTCTCAGGCTTCCCTAGACTGTGGATGAGCAAAAGATAGATCCAGATTTACTGGTAGATCTTCAGGGGATTTTCAGTGTATCCACAAAGGTTTCTGACTCCCAGTTCTTCAGCAAGAGCAACAAAATGGACCCTCTTTCCAGGAGTGCTAAAATGAAGACAGGTACAGAGTGGATTTTTGTTTTAAGAGCTGGCATTAAATGGAGCTCACAAACTGCTGTGCTCCTAATTCTTTAATTCCAAGTCTTCTGACTGGTGGACCTTGGCATGTGTAGCCACCAATTTAAGCATGCAACCCCTTTTTGGAAGGTTTTGTTTAATCCTAAAACATGGTCTGCTTTAGAATTATGCAAGCGTTTGTTTAACACTTGCGTAACTCACACTAAGTGGGGCTAGACTGTGGAATCTGGAACCTACTGCTGCTACAGCTTGTTATGGGTTAAAGAGCCTACAACAAACCACAGTGCTTCATCCAAACCCAGTCACTGATAAGACAGGAGCTGCTTCCCTATCCCATCTCACCAATCATGTTTTGCAGTTCTCAAGCTAGAGATACTGGATTAGGGCAAATGTCTCAAGGGAAAAGGAATTCCTGTTTAATTGTAGTCAAATGTCTGTACATTGTCTCAGATCACCCGAGGTGCCATTTCTAGGTGGGCATGTCGTGAGCGGAGCCGGCTCGTGCCAGAGGTCAGACTAGATGGCCTGGGAGACCCCTTCTGACTCGCTCTGTTTCTATGTTTCTACTGTTCCTGCACATAGCTATCTTCTGCTTACAGCAGCTTCCAAAGCAATCTGCAGATGCACACCTGGCAGAAGTGTCTCATACACCACCAATCGGAAATGCACTCACCTTAAAATGATCCAGTAGATCAGAGGTGACTGCATAGGGAGCGCCAATCACCACTTCAGAAACATACTAATTGGAGGGGAGAAAGAGAGAACTTGAGATTCCACATGCGATTTCCACCATGCCACACCACCAACCTTAGCTTGTTCTTTGGCAGACAATGACCTTAGCATAGTCATTGCATAGATAAGAAAGCCATTTCAAAGAGGCTTTCTCTTTGAAATGCATGGGCATTATCAAAAGAAGTATCACCTGTAAGCTCCAAGGAAAAATCTGCTAAACCTGGCAATTTCAGAATTTGTAGGAAGGAGTCTCTCCTTCTCAGAAAATATCTGGAATAATTGAGCAACATCTGCTTAAGTTTTAGAAATCAGTGCAGATCTGTGGGACACAGGTGAGCTGTATTCACTGCAACCTGCACTGGAAAGAAACTCCTGACCCACTTATAGGGTAACAAGACCTCATGAACACCTCCAATACTTTTCTTTCATTATGAGTTTATTATGAAGAAGCAGAAGAGAAAGCATAGTATTTTCAAGTTCAGGTTGTGCTAGTGTGAAATATTTATTCCCATAAACATTGTAGAACATGGGTGTCAATCAGTGCAAAACTCTCCAAACCCCTGGGCATGCCTTACTTGGCACAGAAAGTGTTTCCTTATACTAGGTCAGAGCACTTATCTGGCCCAGTACTTCCTGCTTATCCTGCAGGCCACAATCCAGGGACTGAGGCAGCAATCTATTCTATCTCTTGTTACATGCTCCTTTACCCAAAGGTGCACCATCTGTGGGCTGTAGGGTTTGGGCCCCAATCCTCACACCTTTCCTCCCCAGTGCAGCCCAGCACAGCTCCAAAGAAAAGACCACAGCCAGCAGTGCTGGGAACAATCCAAACTGGAGTAACTGGGTGGAGGAGGCACTAGCAAGTTTGAAGATCATCACCTCATTTCTTAAGAAATACACAGTATTATATATTTGTAACATTTCATTCCCCCCTTTCTTCCATAGAACTCAAGGGATACCAGATGGCCAGCCAGACCTGTCTTGGAATTGGGCAAATTCACAGAAAGATATCAGTCTGGAAGCCTATACTTCCTGCAGTATCGGAGGCATACACCTATGTACAGCAGGTACTGGGGAACATGGGTGGGAGGGAGCTGTTACACTTATGTCTGGTTTGTGGGTTTCCATGGGCAGCTGGACAGCTACTGTGTGAACAGAATGCTGGGTGAGAGGGATGCTTGGTCTGATCCAGCAGGGCTTTTCTTACATTTTGATGCTTCAGAGGGTGGTTAGAAGAGATGTTTCCAACAAAATACTCACCCTGCAGGCCAGGACACTGAGGGTTCGCTCATGCACATTCATTATGGGATAGTTCTTGCCTTTGTACAGATTTACTTCCTGTGATAAAAGCACAGTGATCAGCATCAGGACTAGTGAGACACTGCATTCCCAACCTGCCCAGCTCGGGTGACGTTGGAGGAACAAGGTAACCATTCTGCCACACACTATGGTGCTGATACCTACTTGATCGAAGTGCAGCCCTACAATTATATAAGGTCGCTTTGCCATCTGATGCACTTTTCCCAGGAAATCCACATGACCAACATCTGGAGGATGTATACATTAAGAAAGAAAGTCTGTGACACCAAGTAAAGGTGGGGGGATTGGAGAATCTTTGGGTCTCACAGAGCCTGTGCTTCTTATCCTGGTAATTTCAGCAAGTGTTATGATGATCTGACTTCTTTCTGTTTCAGTGAACACAGATACTCAGCTGCTCCAGCAATGAACTGCCCTGGAAGTGCAGTCACAGCTATTGCCTCTTCAGGATCAAGCTCAGGGGGAATCAGCAGAGATGTTGGCACAGTATTGCTTGGTTGGCATTGGTGGCATCACAGCCCCTCCCTCTGTATCCTCAAAGTGAATTTACAGTTCTTTTAAAATGTATTTCTTTAAAAAGCCGCAAATGTTTAAATAACCATTTATGCAGCATTTCCTGAAATGAAGCAAGACAGGCAATGGAGATCAGTGGTTGAGTCACTGACAGGTATTGAAAAGCGAGGGTGGGAAGGTGGCATGCTCTTAGGAACAAAATATATATATATATACACATACATACACTGAGTCTTGTTTAAATGATGGGTGGCCAATAAAGAGTATGCAACACATATCTCCCTCAATAGGTCTGGTAGCAGTCACTCCAGTCTAGCATACTGGGATGCTATGAAAGGGGCTCATTCTGTTAGCATGCATGATTGAGGCATAGGGCAAAATACAGCTTCCTTGAGGAAAGCTATTAGTGTGTGCAACTCACACTGAAAGCCTGATCATATATCGTCTCTTTCCATGTGACAGTCCCGGGCCACACTAGCTAACCCAACAAATACCTCTTACCACCTATGATTTCACAGAGGCAATGATAAAGTCTTGTGTTGAGATTTGATTCTTGCATATTTCTAACAAATTGCAAAGCATCCTGATAGCAAAATGCACAAAATGTTTTTTCTTTAACAGTAGAAACTGAAGGAGGGGTGGCAATAGCTTAAGAACAGCTTGGGAGGTCTGGGATTAGCATTTTTAACAGTCACACAGAGAACTGCTGAAATTCATTCATGCCATTTTCTGTGAACTGCAGGACTGGCTGCGACCTGGGATGCAGGCAGCCTACCACTGGGTGTCAGGACCCCCTAATGAGAGCCAGTGTGGTATGGCAGATGGAGAGTTCGACTGAGGACCCAGGATCTTGGTGACAGGATCTGGGCTGCTCGAGGGCTTCACCTGATGGTCAGAACGAGAATGCCCACCCCCCTATTCAGAGGATCATTTCCAGGCCCTGCTGGAGCTCGCAGCCTCCTGATGAGTGCCAGCTGGGAGCTCTGGGGAAAGCGCTTTATAAGAGCAAGCTCTTCCTTCCAGCACAGGTCCTCCTGGTTCTGACCCTAATCTGTTCTGTGACTCAGTTTGGACTCTGTCTTGCCTCAAATTCTGTTGCCCTCATCCCAGTGCATCAGTCTTGTCTCCTGCCACCCATGTATCAGGTGTGAAGCTTACTGGGTGACTTTGGGCCAATCACGAACTCTCACACTAACCCACTTCAAGCAGTGGTGTTGTGAGGATAAAATGGAGCTATGTAAGCTGCGTTGGGTTCCTCATAAGAAGGAAAAAGGCAAGACATAAATGCAATGCAACAACAACTGGCCTCACAGGCTGCCTCCTTCCACCCCATCCAACCTAAAAGGAACAGATCTAGGATACGAAAAAGGTCAAAGGCACCAGCCACGTAGATTATGGTATCTCCTGGTTGAGGCTCCTTGCCCGATGCAAACTGGATGATCTTCTGGGATGTTTGCAGGAACTGGGAAACTCCTGTCCAGGGGCTGTGACCTCTGGGGCACTGGGGAAAGGAGTAAACTGTTAAGACTTAGGTAGATGTTCCTGGGAAGAGCTGTGAAAGAGACTGAAAAGCAGCTTAGCACATACTCTTAGCACATACATGTTACCAAGTCAACAAGGCATTCCACACCTGACTGTTTCATAATATCTAAGTTTTCATGAGAAACTAAAGACATCTGAGGCTTCAGGTCAATCTTGGTAGCTACATTAGTGGGAAAATCTGTAGACAGTTACAACTGGATTTTTATTTTTTTGCAATTACTAGCTATACTGTACTCTAATCATTAATTGAATACATCTGGTATGATAACTGTAGAATTACTGTTTAACTTTGGGAAGAAATTTTGCAACTGGTCACTTTTATTTCCTACATCTGGGAAAATAAGTATTTGCCCAACAATTTAGATCGTATATAAGTATATTTTTAAAAGTCTTTCTAAAGCTTTTCTAAGCATAAAAGCAAAACACTTGAATATAAAGAAAGCAAAACACATGCACTTAATTCACTCAGCTCATACAAACAATAGGATTAAATAAACTGCTTATGGAAAAATTAGGTGAGTTCATGAAGGAATGCTTCATAATAGGAATGTTTTGCTAATAATGACAGAGGTAAATGACTTCCAGCTACTTCCTTTTCTCCTTAATTTCTTTTTTTAAATCTACACTTACAGATTTCTGAAATACAACTGAAGAAATTTAGGAGACTAAAGGGAAAGCACTTAAAATTTAATTTTAAATTTAAGTGATTTTGATTTTCAACAAATTATTCAAAGAACACTTAATATTCTTTTCTTTGTGGAAGCCATGAGATGAACTAGTATTATTCATCAGTTATTACAAAAAGAAATTGATCCTATATTGAGATTTTTGAGCCACTAATATATTAAAAATGCAGTTCTTCCCCTCCCTTAAGTTGTTTAATACTCATGTAACTACCATTTGCTATGATGTGACTTTAATCTGCATTTATTAATAATTGATCTATTGAATGTTTTAACTCTTGACAAATGTTAGTGAATGTGAATTGCTGCTTCAACTCTCCTAATCAAATTCATTCTTCACTATGTTAACAAAATATATGTAATTTTATTCTGTATACTAATTTGTTTTGTTATTTTATGAATAATTGATAACTGTCTTTCATTTCTGAATTATCTGGTGAAAAATTCAGAGACTTAGGGCACACTCCTGTGCATTATAGAAAAATATCCTCTAACCCTCAGGATTCAGAAATGCTGGGAGCTGTAGAACTTTTTTCTGTCTAATCATACATAGGATTGTGCCTTTCATCTCTGAAATAAATGCATAAGAATAAACTATCCTCTCCAGAAATTCCCAGAGCTCTTGCTGTCTCTCACCCTTCCTAAAGACAAAACCAAAAATATAATGGAATGGAACTTCAGCTCCCCCGTGTGACAGAACTAGATACTGCTTCTACAGCTAGTTTAGGTAACTGATCTCTTGCATATACAGTGGTACCTTGGCTCACGAACTTAATCCATACCCAACTCTGGTCGGGAACCAAACTGGTCGTGAGCCAAGTCAAATTTCCCCATAAGGGTCAATGTAAATAAGGTTAATCCATTCTGCAAATATTTTTTACTCACAAAAAATTGAATCAAAGTGACAAAGAACAACAAAGATCACGGCCATCTCCCCCCACCCCCGCAGCGATTGTGCAGGGGGGGTGGGGGGGACGGTGCAATTGTGGGCACGCTGGGGGGGAGGTGGGCGTGTGCGCATGGGGGGGATGCAGATGCGCTCGGGCAGGGAACACAGGTGCAATCACAGCCATCTCCCCCC